TTTAATATATATATATTCTTTTTGTTAATATAATTTTAAATAAAACATTTCTTGGATTATAGTACTTTTCAATGTAATATATCAGTAGTAATTTAAATATTTTATATTTGACCGTGAAAAAATTTTGCTTGCGGTGCGCCAATGATCCTCCCTTCTCACCCTTGATAAACTTATGGATCCGCCCCTGCCAAATAGGTCTCACAGATACTTGAAGAATGTCCAATGGATGTCTCCATTTGACAGTTATTGGACTCGCCATTTTGGAGAAATTTTATTACTCTTTTTTTATTAAACTTTTTTACTTATTTTATATAAAATATTTGTGTAATTTTAAAACGCTCGGAAAACAATTAAATTTGTTTATAACTTTTTTTTTAAGGGTAGACAAAAAAAAATTACATGTGGACAAATGAGTAAGCATGATGGACAATCGATTCTTGTACGTAATTCGGAAGAAGATTCACATGGGGATGCTATAATTTTTTTTTCAAGAGTGGACAAAAATGTTTTTTTTTTAGACAAATGTGGATAAATGATGGATAATCGAATGCAATATTAATTTTGTCAAAATTCGCATCTAGAGGTGTCAGCTTCACAAACTTTAAAGGATTTGAGTGTCCTTTTTCATAATCGAGACATGAAATGGGCATAACATTGGTCGTTCTTTTTTTACGTAGGAAACTCATGTGTTGTGTGGGTATTATGCGCATTATGCGTGATCCCAGATAGCAACGCGTCTATTTTGTTGCTGGCATGTTGCTTGCTACCAACTTGCAACTTTGGTAAGTATACCAAAATTGCAGCAACTGAGTCCTCATTTGTTGGCAACTTGATGCCTTCACGATATAACAACTTTGAGTAGCAACTTAACAGTAATTTGCTGCTAACTTTAAAGTCATCATCATCATGATTTGTACTATTGCCATCATGTTGTCATAATAATATGCAATCACACAATGCTGTCATATTGCCGACAACGCAAGGTAACATTGATGCAGCTGTCTTGCTATTAAACTGCTGGCAATACATACTGTTGCCTGCATGTTACTATAATGTCGATATATCGAAATCGTTGAAGACAAATCCACGACAAGTTGCCAGCATCATAAGCAATCATAGATTTGTGCGATTTTGCTGAGACATTTTGCTTTGCGTTATGAGATACTTACAAAGCATTATTACTACAAAAATCCATATTAACTATATTACAATATTCAAAACTATATATTTCTTAAAATTATTACATTACATGAGCTGAGAAGAGAAGACATTTCTCCGTTTGCCATGCCATATATCATTTCGTTTCACTTTTTCTTTTTAATCTCTTTTCGGTTTTTGACCTACTTTAGGCTGGTTATATTACTATGACTTATTGTTAGTTTATTCACCGACGAAATAATATTAAAAAGCGTAATCTTTAGTAAATTTTCGGCCTTATAAAAAGGGCCTGTAATTCAATTACCGGAGATAATTGAAACATTATCGCTAACATTATCGCAATTGATATAAATTTGCGATTATTTTAATATATTCAGCAAAGCACGTCTCAACAAAATCGCACAAATCTGTGATTGTTTATAATTGTCAGCAACAATGTGTATACGTATTACTAACAGTTTAGGGGAATTCTAAAGACGATTAGTCATAAGTAGAACTTACACACAGATGATTTAGTGTCACTGATACATCACTGCATACTACTATTTCAATATTACACATAAATTTTCATATAATAATAATGTTTTAATTAGACGTCTAAGTCCAAGTAATTTTAAGAACTCCACATTATTTCTTTGTGTAAATTGCTAGTTTGTGGACTACTATTTCGTAAGTGCAGATTACATAGCTTTTATATGAAGCAAATAGGTGCATTCAGAAGCATAATCGCTCACTGAGCATTTAGTATGCTTTTGCAGCTAATTAGCGTTATTCTAACGTCTGCCTACCTGGCCCCTGCACTTAACCAAATCTTAATGAAAAAATTATACAATAATGTGCTATTTATGCGCTATTATACAATCTTCTATTTGTATACAGAGGTACAAAAAACACACTCCAGACTAATAAAAACGTAAATAAAATCCTTGCTGAATGGAAATCAAAGTTTTCTTAGGAATGCTCTCTATCTGTCATACATTCGCACACAATTTTTATATATTTTACATAAAAAACTTCATTGAAATTGGTGACTTTGAATATAGTATTGAGGCTTTCAAGGACACCTGAGCATTTAATCGTGTACAAGTGTGCGTATTCATTCCAGTACATTCCAAATAAAAAAAATACAAAAAAAAGTGCTTACGCAGCCAAAGTTATTTTTCCATTTTTTATCAAAAATGAGTGGAGTGTATTTGGATCCTTGTATAGGGTTAACGTTAAATTATTTGTACACAAATATAAGGTTAATGTGATAAATAATGTTGCATTTGATATGAAATGTTTTCTTTTTCAGAATCAACCAATGGAAGGCGAAGATCCAAGTGATTACAGTTTCAGACATATTACTGAAATCACGATTCTGACTGTTCAATTGATCGTCGAGTTCTCAAAGAGATTACCCGGTTTTAACGAGTTGTTACGTGAAGATCAAATCACTCTGTTGAAAGCATGCTCCAGTGAGGTGATGATGCTACGGATGGCAAGGAAGTATGATGTGCAAACCGATAGCATCATTTTTGCTAACAATCAATCATATACACGTGACAGTTATAATGTTGCCGGAATGGGAGACACCATTGAAGACCTTTTGCGATTCTGTCGACAAATGTATGCTATGAGAGTTAATAATGCCGAATATGCTTTGCTCACAGCTATTGTCATCTTTTCAGGTATGCATGAAAAATATAATAACGTTTTGCGTTAAATACATCAGGTATCCAAATATATGCGATTTTTAGATAAATATTTATTCTATGAATCATTTCGTATTGTAAATTCAGAGTACACGCATGTCTAAAAAATGTCTTTATGATTATCTGGGTAAAAGTTGACAGCGCAAAAAGGACAGTGGGTAATGATTGCGAATTAATAGATAGTTCTTATAATAAATAAATTAGGATTAAGAAAATTATAAAAGCAACTCATTATCGTTTTTTTTCTGAAGAATAACTCATTACTATTATTGATTTAAAACAGTAACCTAACCTTTATATATTACTTATTATTTTTTGTTCTTCACCCATTCTCGTGAGCAGATTCGTGTTTCATTCTTCTATTAAAGAGTCACACCGTAATAACGAGATGATTTTGAATTAAAATTTTATTTAGTATCAACCTTTTAGTATATAATTAAAAAGTGGAATGATAATAACAATTGATAAAATTACGTAAACAAATATATGAACACGACAAATGCAAGATATTTTTGAAAAATTATAATTATCTTAAAAATCATCATAAAATAAGTGAAAAAATAAAGGATCATATGAAAAAAAAATATCTCATTGGTTTGGATTCATAATTTAGTGTTAATTTTGTAACATAAATATAATAAGTTTCTTTTATGATATAAAGTTAGCGGATATAATATGGGATATTCGATAAATATAACTTCAAGTTCTGTGATTTTTAATGAATTTTATTACGAATTTATTGTGGATAGGCAAAAATGGCATCTTTATATTTGTTTAAACTATAAGAAAAATCGTCTCAGAATCGCGCGCGCGCGCGCGTGTGTGTGTGTGTGTGTGTGTATGTATACGAGGTCTGTCCTAAAAGTATCCACCATCTGTATATCTTTGTCCTTGGGCATCCTCTCTCTATTTTGGAAAACAGGCATTCAGTATTTAGGGGAGACTTTAAGGAATACCTCCACTAAGTGGCATGACTTAACAACTGTTCAATCGATTACGATACGCAGTTGTATGAGCGTCGAAATTTCCGAGCTCCGAATATATACAGGATGATTCAAAATAACTTTTTATCCTTAAAGAGTCATATTCCTAGCCGCATTCTGACCCACCATTTTTCTTTTGGCAAAAAGGATTCCGCATGTTTCATATGGAAAAATGACCCCGGAAAAAAGTCTATTTTGAGATATGTTGTACATCTTGATTCTGAACAAATGTTTCCATTGCCACATTCATATAAAATCAACAGATAAAAAGATATAGCACTTTGAAGTCACAGAATTTGATCTTCTTAAGCTATATCTTAAAGTAATTTGATGCTTTCTTTTATCTGTAATAGGTACCCATACGCATGTATATACGCTCAGATAGCCAGACATGCCGAAAGTACCTATTGCAAATTTATGCTACATATTATATTGGAAAAAATCGGGAAACAATCGATCTGTCATTTCAACTAGCATTAACAAAAATACAGCAAATATTCTTTAAATACTGCGCCATAACATATTTTTAAAAATGCTATAAAAATTGAACAAAATAATTCAGCATAAATAGAACAAAATTTAAACATTGTATGTTGGCACAATATATAAACAGAAAATAAACCAAAGCTAGGTTTGACATGATGTTATCACGACTTATTATATAAACAGTTCCAGTGGAGCAATTAGTTAGCGCACGGTACTTATAGACTTATATTAAATATTGACAGCAAAAATACAGCAAAAATCGAGCACAACCTGTTGTCACGATGTGACTGCCTAAAACGCGGCATAAGAACTATAAAAAAAGATTTAGAAATTCAACTCGAATTGAGGTAAACCAATCTCAGAATTAAATATGGCGAGTTAACTGTCGGATTACATAAAAAAACATTTCAACTTCTTTTAATATCTTCCTTGTGTTAAATAAACATTGAATTTATTTTTATAAAATATTTATAAAGTTGACTAAATTATTATTGGTACACAGTAAACGAACATAATTGTATCGTCAATTAAAATAATTTTATGAGCATGATGAAATAAATCTGCAGTAGAATAGATTGACTTTTGACTGAACTATTCTACAAAGTAATGAGAACTCAATATTGTTGATAGTAACAATTTTGAGGTAATCTCAACTTTGTCTGAAGTAGATTTAATTAATCATTAAAACTTTCTATTATATCGATTGATTAATAACCGTCTTAAAAAAAACATTTGTCGCCATGATGTGACAAGAAGTGTATGAAAAGACCATTTGACCAATCTTGCTTTATATGTTATAGGTAAACATTGAATTTCTCTTACGAATACATATGTCATCTATTGATAGCTCCATAAAACGCTCCTTTGCTTTAAATCAAAGTGAAGTACTGTTCATAATTTATTGAGTTTCTATTACTTTTAAGTCTCTTATTTTTACGTTACATTCATGTTCATTGACTTTCAATAATGATTTAGTTAATTTTGTAAATATGCTTATGACTGTATCACTCCATCATTGAATTACGTAAATAAGTTTAATATACTTTTCTCTATGATTGATTTTGATCTCTATGTAGATGCAGATTTATTATTATTATGCAGTTAAATCACCCTTGTGGTAGTTGAATGAATATCTAATATTAATACTTCATCATATTTCAGATCTGTCAATCATATACTTTGACTGAGTTTTTAGGTACATTTTATTACGTGAAGTTATTCGTCTAATTAGATTTTTATTCTTGACTTGATTTACTTCACTTAATCAAATTGCGGAATTCTCAGATTTAGTTCTTTCCACTCTGATCTATTTTTTACAGTGTATGTCGCATCTGCTTTATTTTGCCAAGACCATAGTTCTTTCGTTTACCGCTAGATAACATATCTATTAATATTTATCTCGTATTTCAATTTCTATCACAGGCAAATATAAAACTACATAATGCGGCTAGTGAAAATAAAAGTGTAGTATTTTCCTACCGGTTTCATTTCTAACACAATTTCTATAGAGAATTCCAAATATTAAACTGATTTTTTTTTAAACCGAACAACAATTGGGCTTTCAATATGGAGAATTGTTCATTTATTAACACTACTTAAGATGCAAAAAAATTAAAAGTACAATTTCTATTTAGCAAAATCTTATTCTGATTAAATGTACTTCTTTAATAAACATGCATTTAGTTAATAAAAGTTAAAATATATGATGAATTATATTTATTTATTATGCGTAATTTCTGCTGTTCTTAGCAATTGATAACGCAATTCTATATTTGCCGCGTTTTTGTTAGTTACGTCGTGACGATAGGCTGTGCCCAGTTTTTGTAGTAATTTTATTGTCAGTATTTGATATAATAAGTCGTGCTATAGTCTTGCCGCGATTTTGTTGCCACAATGTGACATCAAATTATGCTTGATTTCTGCTGTCTTCCTGCTATTAGTATTTGATATGTCAAACTTTGTCCGATATTTGCTGTCACTATACTTGTAGCAAAGAATGCTCAATTTTGATTGCATTTCTCCTGTCTGTATTGGTAGATTATGCTGTAATTAAGCTTAATGAGGAAACAACAGCTTGATATCTGCTGTAATATCATGATAAAATTTGCTAGCGTACTGCTGACGCATTGTATTAGTATTTTGCTATCTGGGCGCATGCGAGTAACTAGTCACATGTAAGACAAGAACAAGAATAAGGAGAATGAGAGGACAAGGAAATTGACGTAAAATAAATATTCGAAATGGATTTAACATTTGACACGTTCACATCTTAGATTCTGAGTAACACTAAAATTGAATTTTATGGGTAATATATTATGTATGTATACACGTGTGTGCGTGCGCGTGTGTGAATGTGTTGCAACCGCACTCACGAGCGTGGCGCAACTTCGTCGCGCATTCACAGCTAAGATCTTATACAATCGGATTATGGGTGACTCTAAACGAAACGCAACAGAAATGCATCTTCACGCGGCCACTCTTAAGGGCAACACACAATCGCAAAACAATAGTTGGGCGCCAGGCACGAGTGAGCGTGCTACTCTTTCTCGAAATTACGCGATACTTTCTCTATGCAATATTCTAACGAGCTGTGAACGTCGACGGGCTCTCAACCGGTAGCTCATCGGAAATGACAGAGAGAGCGGTTCGTGGTCAAGGATAGAAGATCGTTTGGAAGAGCGAATAGTGACGGCAATAAAGCACACACGAATTAATAATAGCAAGAATAACAAATGCGACCACCAATGCGCGAGCCGTGATGGCGCCCTACGATTCCAGGGCGTTGAGACATCAGATAACCGGACCATATCTCGGAGTCTTTCCACCTCCTTTTCGGCGCTCCCACCTGGCTATACGTTACCCAGGTAAGGGCTATTGTTGTTGTTTGGAGAGCATCCAGGTTGAACTTTTTGCCCACCTGAGATGCCTGACGTCCCAGTCTTTTTGGCGCTCCTCGATCTTGGGATTGGCAGTCGTTCGGATCATGGAAATGGTTCGACTTGATCAGAAGACTGAGGTTGCCTTCCCAATTGAACATTGTCGGTGGTAGGGGACGATATTCAGATCAAGTCCATGATAGACTCTTCGGCCGCCGATAAAGGTGCTTCGTCTTTCCCTATTAACCAGGCAGAGATCGAATGTTCTCGCTCACTCCATCACCGCACGATCCTGGACATCAGTGTGATAGGGCCTTCACTCCGTGGAGTGGGCGTTTAAGTCCCACTATTATGGCCGGGCGGGGCGAGCGCCTTCTCATGATTGCACTCAGCTTCAGGAGCTTTATTTCAAACTCGCAGAGCGGCAGCTGCGGCCAGAGATAACAAACCAGAAAGTCAAGGGCCCCTCATTCCACCATTGTGTAAAAGATTATCACTTTCTACATGAGAGGGTGGCGGGGAGCGCCTAGTTAATCTCCAGACAACAGACCCCGTCGAATCCCCCAATCACCTATTGTTAGCGGGGACATTGTAAGAGCATTACACCTAAGCCTGAATCACTCTCGTCCAGCGTACGAAGGAGCACGTCCTGCATCGAATAAGGGTGATTCAAATTCACCTGGAAGAGGCACGTCGCCATGAATGTTACGGCACATCAGCCTCCTTTAGGCACACTTTCATCTCCGCGTTCTCACTGAG